AACTAGTGAATTAGGGGGCTTACATATTTTTCTTCTTCTCTATATAGCTACTGATGATCTTCCTATCAAAAAGAAAACCTACATGTCATTTCCCAATGGTTTCCCAATGGTTCCTTTGCAGGATTGTCAACAGACCAGATAAGACCAGCTACATTTGCTCTAGTGCCTAATGTAAAAGTGATTTATATAAATTGGAAGTTTAAGTGTTTGCTTTATTATGCTTTATGCCCCTTCTGAAAATGTATTTTTGCCTAGGCTTTTCTTAGCAGCTAATGCTGGTGTGTTAGAGGAGGGGTAGTACCTCTGGTGGAGGGCATGTTGTGCTCCTTCTGGGGTAGTTTGTCCACCTTTGGTCCCCACCTTTGGTCAACTTTCACCTGTGGCTCCTAGAAGCTGTCAGCATGTGGCAGCAGCCACACCCCAGGAATGGCTACAACTGGCTGGCTAAACCAGGTGAGGGTAGCTGATGGGTCTCAAAACCTTGGTGAGTTAAGGACTTCCCCTGCATGGGAAAACAGGCTCTGGAGGACTGAGTGGACAAGACTAGGGTCCAATGCTCAAGAAGGCGGCTTCTGCACATGCTGTAGAGGGAAGTGAGGGACTGAAGAACCTGGGAAGGTAGGCCATCTAGGAGAAGGAAAACTCTGGTCCTAAACCTCTGCTGCCTTGTGGGTTATCTTCAAGAGAAGAAAAGGCTAAGGAATAAACCCTACGCAAATCTGGAGTCCCTGTGATGGTTGGCTGGCATCTTATATGCCACCTCCTGGAAACTCCTGTAGCCAGGCAAGTGCCAAAAGTATTGCTCTGCTTTCCTTTGGACCGCACCAGCAAGGCTTGGTGTGTGTTGTGTGTCTTGTCATCTGGGCAGCCCAGCACCTCCATACACACTGCCCCCCAGGAAGGTCATTTTGGTGCTGCTAACATAGCAATTTGACTTCACACACACCTGGCACACTTATTATCTCTCTAGACAGATGGATGTCAACAACAATGTTGGGTTTATTGCTCATCTTGCATTCCGCTGTCTTCACACCATGTTTTACATTATGTTGCATTTTATGGAATGCCACTTTGACATTTTTAAATGTTTGATAGTATCGGATTTTTAAAAGAATCAAATAATAAAGTATATTAATTATGCTTCTGCTAATGACATGCCTTCAGGTGCAGGGATGGGAACCTGTGGCCCTCCTGTTGTTTTTTGGATTCCAACACCCATCAGGGCTGGCCAGTATGGCCAATGGCCAAAGATGATGGACACTGCAGTCCAACAACCTCTGGAGAGTCACAAGTTCCTCAGCCTGATTCAAGAGGTAGTTGAAAAAATAGCAACACTTTGTTACTTTGGCCTTCTGTCTCTATGCCCTTCTATCTCTATCTCCTTCTCCATCCATCAGGCCACCTCACTCTTCTCCTTCCAAAACTTCTACATAATCTTTCTTAAACCATAATGGTTTCACTCTGTCTACACTTTTCAGCTGATCAATATTTACATTTTATGCACTTCACATTCCAGTTTCAGTACATTTCTTAGAGTAGCCTTGTTTGACTGATCAGCTAAACAAATGTCTGTTAGAGTGCCAGCCATAATATTCCATTCAGGGCAGCAACTTGCAGATATATGGATCTAGTTTGGCTCTTTCTGCTGATATCGCTTGGGCCTGCCATGACCTTGTAACAAGTAGTTCGCTAGTGGAAGGCTTGCAGTTCACATAATAAGGTGGCAGATTCAATTTGTCTGCTAATTGAAGTTTACTTCATCTGACTCATCTCTGAAGATGTTTCCTAGACCTTTTATCTAATTAATGATTTGTGTAAACACAATTGTTCTCTCTCACTGCCTTGGGATTTGCTCTTTCTAATTTTTGTTGATATTTATGCTGAATAGATGTACCAGTTGGACATTTGGTGCAGCTGACCTCTGTGATTTCTGGCAGTGAAATTTTCTATAAATACTTCGGGCTTAGAGTGTCACTATGCTGAAATCAAAACTCTGCTGAATTAATCCTTAGCTTCTTTGAAGCTTTGCAGCTTATGCTTGGAATCTGTCTGAATTGCCATTACTTTTGCATCTGGGGCATCCACGTAAAAAAAGAAAAAAGGAAAAGGAAGGAAGGAAGGAAGGAAGGAAGGAAGGAAGGAAGGAAGGAAGGAAAAAACCTTCATAACCTACATAGAACATTCATGTTCCCAGCTTACCTTGTGCGGGGAGAACAGCTTTGCTTCTACCTGTCTGGAGGATGAGGGAAGCATTGAAGCACTCTGACCATGCTGCTTGGGAGATTGGATCTGCTTTGAAATTTAAAGCTGTTGGACCTCTCTGTGTGGCTCTTTCTCAGTGCAGCTGGGCCTGCCATCAGACGTCAACGTGGTTGGGTGCTGCCAAGGACCCTGGGCTCAGAGCAGCCCATCGCTAATCACCCAGCCTATCAGGACTACCTATCAGGGCAACCTATCAAGTTGTAGATGCGCATGCCAACACTGAACCATGATTCAGGACTTTTTCTGATCCCCATCTCATCCCTCACATGTGTTTGTTTTTGTGGGCAGCAATAATGTTCGGACTTTTGGAGGGGAGTAAAGCCGGTGTTGTCAGTTTGGTGTTCAGTAAAGATTCCGTCCTCTAATGCGGTGCCAAAACCTGTCTTCCAGTTTCTCAAAAGGTTTCTTCTTCTGCAAAAGAGCTTTCCATTTTTCTGCCTTGTTTTCAGGGCACCTTTAGAATTTTGGAAGGTTCAGTATTCAAGTTTGTTTTTTTACATTTGAAAATAATATTTATTACTTTCCCAACAATTTAAACACTACAAAATAAATAAAGAAAAGAAAAAAAGGGGGAAAAAGAACAATACAATACAATACAATACAAGAACACTACATAACACATTAAACTAACAAAACAAAACAAAAACAGTTTAAAACACATCAAAGAATTTCAATATCTTATCTTTCATTCACTTATTTCAGTGACCTCCTCACACCTCCCTTTTTGTATTCCACTTCTGTTAGTTGTTTCAGCAATTCCTTTCCATCTTCCTCTGCTTTCTATCCTTTAATTATCTTAACAGATTCTAACCTTATTTTTCCCTTTAGTACTCTATTAATCTATTTATACTTAATTCCTTATAACATTTCTACTAAAGCCATATAACTTCATTCCAGCATTTTTCTAACATTCATTAATTTTACAGTATTTCTGTAAATAGTCTTTAAACTTTTTCCAGTCTTCTTCCACCGACTCTTCTCCCTGGTCTCAGATTCTGCCAGTCATTTCCGCCAATTCCATGTAGTCCATCAACTTCATCTGCCATTCTTCCTGGGTGGGTAAATCTTGTGTCTTCCAATACTTTGTGATGAGTATTCTTGCTGCTGTTGTTGCATACATAAAAAAAGTTCTATCCTTCTTTGGCACCAATTGGCCGACCATGCCCAGGAGAAAGGCCTCTGGTTTCTTCAGGAGGGTATATTTGAGTACCTTTTTCATTTCATTATAAATCATCTCCCAGAATGTCTTAATCCTTGGGCATGTCCACCAAAGGTGAAAGAATGTACCTTCAGTTTCTTTGCATTTCCAACATTTATTATCGGGCAAATGGTAAATTTTTGCAAGCTTGACTGGTGTCATGTACCACCTATAAATCATTTTCATTAAATTTTCTCTTAGGGCATTGCATGCCGTAAATTTCATACCTGTGGTCCATAACTGTTCCCAGTCAGCCATCATTATGTTATGTTCAACATCTTGTGCCCATTTAATCATAGCTGATTTCACTGTTTCATCCTGAGTGTTCCATTTCAACAGCAAGTTATACATTCTTGACAAATTCTTGGTTTTTGGATCTAACAATTCTGTTTCCAATTTTGATTTTTCCACCTGGAAACCAACTTTTTTGTCCAGATTGTATGCCTCCATTATTTGATAATAATGGAGCCAATCTCGCACTTTGTTTTTCAATTTTTCAAAGCTCTGCAATTTTAATCTGTCTCCATCTTGTTCCAGAATTTCCCAATATTTCGGCCATTTGGCCTCCATATTGAGCTTTTTCTGTGCCTTCGCTTCCACTGGTGACAACCATCTTGGGGTTTTCTTTTCTAACAAATCCTTATATCTTATCCAGACATTAAACTATGCTTTTCTAACAATATGATTTTTAAACGCTTTGTGTGCTTTTACCTTCTCGTACCACAAATATGCATGCCAACCGAATACATTATTGAAACCTTCTAGATCCAACACGTCAGTGCTTTCAAGAAGCAGCCATTCAGTATTCAAGTTTTACCATATTGTTGCAAGGTGGTCAAGGGTGATGTATGTTTTCCTCCTTAGAAAACATTTCTGCAGCACTCAGCAATCTCTCCTGCTGCCCACACTTCTTGATGTGAAAAAGGCCCAGGGAAGAAGTTGCATCAGCTGCGTGTTGAGACCCTGAAACCACCCCCTCGTTGATGAATAAGCCACAAGGACACAGATATTAGGTTAATGTTCTTGGGCAAATATAGGCCACAACTTTATTGGTTACAGAATGTGAGCAGTATTGGCTTAGGCATTGGAATTGACCCGACTATATCTGACTCCTGCCCATCACGCAGGGAGTCTTTTAAGGGTCAACCAGTGGTAGGGTGATCCCCATCAATGCAAACCAACTCGAGCTCCCCCTGGTTCCCGAAGGGGTCGTGGCTTGGCCCTAGCCCTGCCCCAGGCTTTGGACAAGATCCACACACACACTGGATTCCTTTAAAGGAATACCCTTAAGCTTGGAGGGGCAAGTGATGGCCACACCTCCCCTCCCCCAGATAATCGAGAGAGAGAGAGAGAGAGAGAGAGAGAGAGAGAGAGACTCACAAACACTCTTGGGTTACCCTGAAGGTAAGGTAAGCTGACCCTGAATTTCACCAAAATGTTCTCTCACTTTTGATAATTTTTCAGAATAATTTTCATAGAATCATACAGTTGGAAGGAACCCTTCGTGTCATCTCGTCCAACCCCCTGCAATGCAGGAATATGCAGCTGTCTCATATGGGAATCGAACCTGGAACCTTGGTGTTATCAGCACCACGCTACAACCAACTGAGCTATCCCGCTGCATCATCTTCTCTCTTTGTTGATAGAGAATGGTAGGGGGAAATTTTGACATAGCGCTAGCCCTCTCGTGCATGGTCATGGCCTGAGCAAACTGCTGTATGAGAGAATTAGAATTCATGTTTGTTTGTATGTTTAATTACAAGCAGAACTTTAAAAGTTCTGCTGCTCAGTGATAAAGGGAAGTGATCGATCGACATTGAGCATGCTCAGTACATTAGACCAGTGGCCTAGAACACTTACATTTTGTAAAATGGGATTGTGAAGCCTTGTAAAATGCAACCATCATCATATAAACTGTTTTGTAGTTTTATCTATACCTGGCGCTATTAAAGTGTCTGCCTGAGCATAGCAGACACGCTAGGAGATGAATAGCCCCTGTTTCTCTCTTCACTTCAATGTTTTCACGCAATTTGTTGTTTAACTGGCTGCACTGCCCAACTCTTGTTCTGTTGTTGGTATAATTTTGCTCAATTGACCATTGTTTTTAGAGGTTCATGGTTTTACATTTTTCTTCAAAATTTTACAAGATTACATTTCAACAAGGCAGCCTAGGAAATTACCTCCCTTGCTAAACCCATTTCCGCGGGAACCAGCAATCTTCCTTGCTTATTGTCACCTGTAACAGCTGCCGGTACCTGCTCCCATTTAAATGAATGAGAAAAGTCATCATAAAAGATTTATTTCCCCATTTTTTCTTATTTACTCCTAACATTTGGCTCAGGCTTTCACACATTTCAGAAAACAGCTAGTCTTCCTGGAGAACAAAGTGTGCTATTTAGTTCTGACCTCCAAAGAAACAAATAGTTTAGTAGCTGAAATATCCATAACCATGAGGAGAATGGAAGAAATGCATCCTTGCTGAACAATTTCCAAGAGAAATCAGGACATCTCAAGGAACTCAAGACAGGCTCCCTGGTTCCTCCTCCACCTGCTTTTGGAATGACTAATTGTGATTTGAAAAGCAGTAGAACCCATTCAGACAACTAAATCACCTTGGGAAAAGCTCTCTTATCCTGGGGTGGTTTGGAGATTTTGTATCCAGGAATGGGCAAAATTGTCTCTTTTCTGTCCATGTTAATTTTGCATAGCTTACACATCCATTTTCAGAATTCACCTGTGCTTTTCTTTTTTTAAAAAAAATACTCTCAAAATACATATTTAAACATATTAAAATTTGTATTTTGTCTCTAAACATGTATTTAATTGTAGGTTTAACCTCAGAGTCATGTTTTAAACATTCACATTTTTGTAAGTTTAAACTGCCCAAAATTGAATTGAAATATTTGGATAAATGCAAATTCTGGTAACGGAACTCACACTGAACACCTCCCTCATTCTCTTAGAATGGCAATCGCGCCCACCTGAGAGGTGTCAGAAATGAGCTCCAGTGAGTTCCAGCTGGAAAAAAAGCCATGATGATGATTAATTTCTCATACACACACACACACACACACACACACACACACACATACATACATATGGATGGGGGGATTGCAAAGCGGTTTACAGCACATTAAAACATTAACTAAAACAAGCTAGAATAAAACATTACTGAAGAAAGTCCAATAAAAAAGTAAACATTCAAAGCAGCATAATAAAAAGGAGTTGACCTGGGAGAGGACATTCTCTGCGGCAGCCTCTAGGTTGTGGAAGTCACTCTGTCTAATAGTAGGACTGGTCCTACTGCCTTGATTACCATATGACATCTATCACCTAGTGAATTATCCCCAGCTGCTGCTGAATACTCCTTTTGCTCAGCTTAATTTCTGAATTTTTTATGTTGTTATTGCCCCTGCACGTTATGTATGAAGGACCCCTTTGGCATGGAATCGTTTTTCTTTTCTTTTCTCTGTTCCCTTCACTGTGCATTTGGTTCATGGCAAATAGATGCTAACATCATAATTATGTGTTTGCATTATTTTCTTCTTCCTTAGGAAATCCTATCAAGATATAATTATATTTTCTCATTATCTGATTTCCCTCTGTAATCGCATTTTTGCACCCATAGGATCTGCTGTGCTGTTGCCTTTCAGTCTCAGACGACGTAATTTGGAGCCTATTGTTTCAACCGTAGAAATCCCATCAAAAATTATTCACACTTTGCCATCAAATATGATATTATCGTGCTTTCCCCCAAAATGCTTTGCTCATGTTGCTTTTTTATAATATCTACAACTGGGTTAATTAAATTATGTCAGGAGGATATCCTCAGTGCTTGGCATTTGGTTATTGCAGCTGTTTCTTTGGGGCATTGCAGAATGGTGGAGCACATACTTTGCATTATTTTATTTAAATCACTGCTGGAAAAATACCTAAAGGTGATTTCACAATAAAAAGGAAATAAAAGCAATTGCACAATTTCTCATATATATATATATATATATATATATATATATATATATATATATATTCTAACAGTGAAAGAAGAAAATAAAACATGTTCGTATCTTTAAAAATTGCAAATTCATTGCAAAAACAAATTTTCACTTCGAAGTCTTGCTGGCAAAATCTTCAATAGACACCCAAATAGTGTGTGTGTGTGTGTGTGTGTGTGTGTGTGTATATATTCAGGAGAGCTTCGTTTCCACCTCACTCCATGGAATTTGGGAGACAAAGACTCAAAGGCAACTCCCTTCAAAATGGAGATTTGTGACTCAATACCATCATCACATAATCTAAGGTTACATGTTAGCTACCAGAGAACAACGACCAGTTCAGCTCATATTCCACTTTGGAAAAACCCCAATGTTAGTAATTCTCATTTAGCCATTTTCCCTTTTAAGCCATTTTCCCTTTTAAAACTTTCATTAATACACATACATTTTTATTTCAGTGTCAGTTAAACCAGTTATACACTGGGGTCCAGCTCCAAGGGCCTTCTGGCGGTTCCTTCACTGCGAGAAGTGAGGTTACAGGGAACCAGACAGAGGGCCTTCTCAGTAGTGACGCCTGCCCTGTGGAATGCCCTCCCACCAGATGTCAAGGGAATAAACAACTATCTGACTTTTGGAAGACATCTGAAGGCAGCCCTGTTTCGGGAAGTTTTTAATGTTTGATGTTTTATTCTCTTTTAATATTCTGTTGGGAGCCACCCTGAGTGACTGGGGAAACCCAGCCAGATGGACGGGGTATAAATAATAAATTATTATTATTACTATTATAAATTATTAGACTTACCCCACTTTTCATTTCTTTATTTTTTTATTTGTATCTGCCTTTTGACTGTCTTTTCTGCAGTTTTATTACAAAAATAACAAATCTGCCAAAATGCAATGCTGACAGGAGAACTATGAAGCAGCAGAAAATGGTGGAGTGGGGGTCGGGTGGGGACAAAAAAAGAGTAAAATAAACTTGCAAGATTCGGTTCCTGCACTGTATAGCTGCCATAGGTGACAGAGGATCACAACATTTCTTTTAATAGGAGTATACACTGTGCCTACATATATTGGGTCTGTTCTCCTGAAAAGGCTCTTTCTTTAAAATCCTTCCTGTCTCCTTGGGCAAAACGATCAAATCCATTTACTCTTTCATAATCAGTTGTAGAGAAGGTAGGCATGGAAAGATGTCAGCATTTCCGATAACAACCTATATTTTCAGGGATTTATAATACCCATGAAAGACATACACTGGCATTTGGCCTTACAGCTTTCTATTCAACCACCGTAGGCTTTTCTATTGATTCAGAGAAGAATAAATGTTGGGGTATAATCTATTTCTGTGAAATACAATGGTGAGGCCATATATTCTGAAGATTTCTCACTGTCCACGATGCACACAGAAGACTTCCTTTTTATATTTTAAAATGCTAGACCTTTTTCATCTTTCTTCGTAAGTAGATTTCTTAAGAGGTACTCAAGAAGAGGAACAAATCTAACTTAAGAGCTAGGTTAGATGGCCATTTTGAGGGAAAACCTTTGCTATGTCTCCAGGAAACAAAAGCTGGTTGCCATTGTGTTGAGGTGCTTGGCTGCTCTTTCTGCAGTCATACTCTGATGAGCACTCGATGCACCATTTGTGCTTCAGGTTTGTGTTCACTTCCAGCTTCCTGGCTGTGATTTATGGCATCCTTTGGATTTGGAAGAGCAAGGAAGCAGGTGGTTTGTTAGATTGCGTTTGAGATTCTCTCCCTTACAGCATGCTCATTTCAGCCTCATTTGTAGAGCAACCTTACGCATGCTTACTCAGAAACACTATTTTGCTTAATGGGGCTGACTCACAGGTAAGATTTCAGCCTTCATATTTTCTGACTGGGATTTTGAAACCCCATCAAAATCAGTCTGGTGGAAGAGTGCCTAGCCTTTTCCCACTGGATCCTGTTGTTGTTTAGTCATTTAGTCGTGTCCAACTCTTCGAGACCCCATGGACCACAGCATGCCAGGCACTCCTGTCTTTCACTGCCTCCCACAGTTTGGTCAAACTCATGTTGGTAGCTTTGAGAACACTGTCCAACCATCCCACTGGATCCTAAGAGAAGTTAATTAAATGAAGTTTGTTGAAGTTATAGGATCCAAGGCCTTGCTGGGCTTTCAGTTTAGCAGTACAATCCAAAACACAGAAGGTCAAATGACACGTTCCAAACTCCAATCAGGAATTTGACTTATGATGCATTTTTAACAACTAACTTTGGCTAGGCTGTGGAAAGGGATTTGAAATAGGTGCAAGTCTCTCCCAGCCCCTGCTAAATCACCATTATGCCCCTTTTGGGGGACTCACAGCTGTGTAAATTACATTGGCTTTGGTTCCTCTAGCTGAGCTGAGGTGATGCTCTTATGCCAGATTAGCCAGGGTGAGGGACTCAGCCCCGGAACAGCAGGGAATGCCCAAGATCCACTGCATCCAAATTATCCCATCCCAGTGGGTCTTGAACTTGAATTGCACTATTAGATTCCAGTTCTAAACACTGTTTGCAGAGAAGTGGATCAAATGTAAGTTTCTGCACTTAAGCATGAAGCACCTGCTACACAAATATAAGATAAGGGACACCTGGCTTGGAAGTAATACA